TCCGTGTTTTCTTAGACACGGAGGATGCTGGCCCCGTCTGTCCTGAGGGTCTGTGTTCTCTGTGCTCAGGTCTCTGCAATCGGAGGGTGACCCTGGGGCGAGGTCTGTATACCTTGAGGTGATCACATGGGGGAGCATCTGCTACGTGTAGGTCAAAGCCTCTGGCACCTTTCTGCCCACGGAGGCAGTCCTTGCAGCGAGTGAGGGCCTCCCGGTTAAGAGGGTGGGCGGGATGCCAAGGCTCTTGGAGTTGGTGGAGTGGCTGGCTTTCGGTTGACCCCCAGCCCCATGAGAGGGTATGTGACATACGGTGCCGTGGCTCAGACGCTGGGAGAAGGGACCAGCGCGCGCTGGGTCTTCCGGGCCTGGCCGCAGGGAGTGCGGAGGTCACTGTCTGTCTGTCACCTCCAGTGCACTCCGGCCGCCCTGTGCGGTGGCCTGGCAGGAACCGTCCCCGGTTACCCCCAGCATTTCTGTGGAGGCCTGGGCACCCTGCTAGGAGAGGAGGGTGAGATTGGGGCCTGTGACTCACTCCTGCTGACCCCTCACAGACCACGCCCGGGCCTGTCATTGGCCTCCCTGGAGGGGTTAGAAGTGGGGAGCTGTGTAGGGTCAGAGTTCGTGGGCAGGCAAGGACCTTAGGCTCTTACATCCTGGGGTGGGTGGGGGTGATTAGGTGCTTGTCTTCCCTCCTCTTCCTGCTCTGCCCCCTTCCAAGTTAGAGATAGTGTCTCTCCCCCTCTCACCACCCGCCCCCCATCTCCACCCCTGGCAAGTGTGTCCCCTGCTGCCATTCACTGCTCGGTTGCCTTGGCCTGCGCTGGGCCCAAGAACCCCCACCCTCCCCAGTGGGTGGGACTGCGTGTGGGACGTGTTTGGAGGGTCCCGGGGTTCCTAATCGCAGATCAGGGTGCAGCGTATCTCTGCGAGCCTTATGGCAGCTGTGGCCGACAGGACATGCCCGCTATCACCCCCTTATAGACAGGACTCCACGCCTGCGGGAGGTAGAGACTTGTGAATAAGCGGGAACAGTCAGACTCAGGTTCTCCAGACCCTAACCCCCTAACCTCCCAAACCTCTCCCGTCCCGGGCTTGGCACAGGGGTCGGAGGTCTCGGAGGTCCGCTGGGCATCGGAGAGGCTCAGCGACTTTCCTGCCTGGACCGAGCTGCTTCCCCGGCAGCCGCTCCTTCCCCAGGCCAGGCCTGTCTCCCTGGGGGACCCCATCGCTGGGCCCCAGAGGACAGTGGTTAGGAAAACGGCCACTGGGCAGAGGAGGCTGGGTGTGGAGATGAAGGCTGCTTGCCCCCTTTCTTTGCCCCCCCCCCCCTCCTTGGGGCAGCCAGGTCCCACCCACTCACTCACTCTACCCCAGGGCAGTGCATTTTAAGGAGGCTTGGCCCCTCCCTGCCAGCCTCTCCTGCCCTTATCAGCCCACCCTGCTCCTCCCCTTGGGGGCCCCACTTTGGGCTGGGCCCGGTGAAGGCCCTGTTTGGTTCTAAGGTTCCTCTTAGCCCCAAACTTTGATGATGCTCCTTCCCTTGATTTCCGGGCTCCCCTGAGCTCCCCCAGCCCCTGCTCACCGGCATCCCAGGGTCTCCCCTGCCTGCAGCTGCACTTGGTACAGCCCGTGCCGGCCCCTGAGCCGTCCTGGGGGACTGGCT